TTTACCAATACCACAGTGAAAAATAAGCCTTCATCAATGCAAACGCATTGACATACACTACAGAGAAACTAGTTCTTGATTTTCCTGTCCCCTTATTAATAAAGAAGTGGAGCATACTGAAACTAAGAGTTATGTGCAGGAACAGCAATACAGGAATGATTGTACTGAGAGGTCAAGCTCCTATAATGATATGATGAAAATAACTGCATCTATGACAAAGCATCAGGACAACATTTGCAATGATGGAAAAGAAAAGATGCAAAGTGTTGACCAAATTGTTAACACCCATTGATTGACAGCATGTACTTGGATATTTCAAAAGCTCCTGTTGATGCAACTTATGATTTCCCATTTAGGGAATCCTACATTCCCTTTAGTAAAGTTGGTTTTTACATACGTTAATCTGAAAGACAATCTGTGCCCCTTGCTAGGAATACCTTTGAATTGCAGAGGTAACCACATACTCTGTCCTCACATCATAATGATCCTGCTAGAAATAAAAGTTACCTCTTATACAATCTAACATCAAAAAATCACCTAGGAATTATCATCATACTCGATCTATGTTTGATTTGTTTCCATACTGGAAATAAAAAGTACGCACCCAGGCCAGGCACGGTGGCTCAAGCCTGTAATCCCAGCACTTTGGGAGGCCGAGGCGGGTGGATCACGAAGTCAAGAGATCGAGACCATCCTGGTCAATATGGTGAAACCCCGTCTCTACTAAAAAAAAAATACAAAAATTAGCTGGGCATGGTGGCGCGTGCCTGTAATCCCAGCTACTCAGGAGGCTGAGGCAGGAGAATTGCCTGAACCCAGGAGGCGGAGTTTGCAGTCAGCCGAGATTGCGCCATTGCACTCCAGCCTGGGTAACAAGAGCAAAACTCCATCTCAAAAAAAAAAAAAAAGTATGCACCTGTATTTTCAAATAAGATGTCTTCCTTTTAAGACTAATGCATCATTTAAAATAAAATTTCAACTCGAAGTTTCTGGTGTATAAAATGGCACCAATCCAAAAAGATGGGAAAGAAGAGCCCACCGTTCCTCCTCCAGTTAGACCTTATTTCTCAATGAACTGAAGAGGCAGATGTCCTGAACTGCCCTCAGATGCTTTTGGAACCACAGCTTCTGCCTGTCAGGGGAGGTCCAAGGTGTTTTCTTGTTTGGTATTGAAATGTAAACCTCTATTTGCTTCTTTCTCTCTCTCCCTCTTTTTTTTTATATATAAAGGAAAGAGGTTTAATTGACTCAATTCCACATGTCTGGGAAAGCCTCAGGAAACTTACAATCATGGTGGAAAGCAAAGGGGAAGCAAAGCACATTCTTCACTAGGGGGCAGGAGGGACAATGCACACAGAATAAACTACCAAACACATAAAACTATCAGATCAGCTGAGTACAGTGGCTCTTGCCTATATTCCCAGTACTTTGGGAGGCCAAGGCAGGTGGATCACAAGGTCAAGAGTTCGAGACCAGCCTGGTGAACATGGCAAAACCCCATCTGTACTAAAAATACAAAACTTAGCTGGGGGTGCTAATGCATGTCTGTAATCCCAGCTACTTGGGAGGCTGATGCAGGAGAATTACTCGAACCTGGGAGGCAGAGTTTGCAGTGAGCTGAGATCGCACCACTGCACTCCACCCTAGGTGACAGAGTGAGGCTGAATCTTGAGTAGATGGGACTACAAGCAAGTGCCACCACGTCCAGCTAATTTTTGTATTTTTAGTACATATGGTGTTTCACCATATTGGCCAGGCTGGTCTTGAACTCCCAACCTTGTGATCCACCCGCCTTGGCCTCCCAAAGTACTGGGATTACAGGTGTAAGCCACCATGCCTGGTCTGTTCTGCTATTCTTAAAACTGCACATAAACATTATATGTGTGTGTTATCATATATAGCCAGGGGTAGTGATTCATGCCTGTAATCCCAACACTTTGGGAGACTGTGGAAAAATCACTTGAGCCCAAGAGTTCGAGACCAGTCAGGGCAACATTGCAAGAACTCATCTCTAGGAAAATAAAAATAAAAAGAACTTTGAAAGATATATTATACATTTCATAGCCAAGTACAATGACTTACACCTGTAATCCCAGCACTTTGGGAGGCCGCGGCAGGTGGATCACGAGGTCAAGAGATGGAGACCATCCTGGTCAACATGGTGAAACCTCATCTCTACTAAAAATACAAAAAATTAGCTGGGCATGGTGGCACATGCCTGTAATCCCAGCTACTCACTCAGGAGGCTGAGGCAGGAGGAGAATTGCATGAACCCAGGAGGCGGAGGTTGCGGTGAGCGGAGACTGCGCCATTGCACTCCAGCCTGGGTAACAAGAGCGAAACTCCATCTCAAAAAAAAAAAAAAAAAAAAAAAAAGCTAGATGGGAGTGGTGGTACACGCCTGTAATCCCAGCTACTAGGGAAGCCAAGGCATGAGAATCACTTGAGGCCGGGAGGCGGAGGTTGCAGTGAGCCAAGATCACATCATTGCATTCCAGCCTGGGCAACAGAGGGAAACCGTGTCAAAAAAAGAAAAAAGAATATATTATATATTTCAAAAATTATGTATCAGATATCTATTTCAAGTATTAGATGTTGGATATATATTTCAAATTTTCTTAACACTTATAAAAAGAAACTCTGGCTTGAAGTAGCTTAGGTTTCCAGCAGACTCGTTGGTTTTAGAGCCTGGCCTTGCATATTATGCTACTACTATTACAAACCTCTTCCTCCATGAGAAAAAAATGCACAAAAAAAGTGAAGTGTGCTCTGGATGTAGATCTGCCTGATGATGCATGGACAGAGGTATTGGACACAGGTCTGAGGATGGCAGGCATTCCATTTCTCTCATCTGCTCATTCTTCAAGCCTCAACTTCCTGACATGAGGACAAACCCAGGACTCCTCTCATTTTCCTCAAGCCATGCCCTTCCACGCTTTCTCTTACGTGGTGTCCCTTCAGTCTAGAATCTTCTCCACCTAGCATGATCTTGCTCCTCACCTGACATTCTTCTGAAATTTCATTCTTCAGTCTTCCCAGGCAGCTGGGGTCTTTGCCATTTTTTCTTTTTTCTTTTTCTTTTTTGAGACGGAGTCTCGCTCTGTCACTCAGGCTGGAATGCAGTGGTGCAATCTCTGCTCACTGCAATCTCTGCCTCCCAGATTCAAGCCTATTCTCTCTTTTTCTTTTTTTGAGACAGAGTTTCACTCTTCTTGCCCAGGCTGGAGTGCAATGGCGCCATGTGGGATCACTGCTACCTCCGCCTCCCAGGTTCAAGGGATTCTCCTGCCTCAGCCTCCCAAGTAGCTGGGATTACAGGCATGTGCCACCACACCTAGCTAATTTTGTATTTTTAGTAGAGACAGGGTTTTCACATGTTGGTCAGGCTGGTCTCAAACTCCCTACCTCAGGTGATCGGCCTGCCTTGGCCTCCCTAAGTGCTGAGATTACAGGCGTAAGCCACCACACCTAGCCTATTTGGTTCTTTACATCATACAGCAAAGAGCAACGGAAAATAATGAAATAGCATGGAAGTGGAGTAGAAATATTTTCTCAAATACAGGAGAAATGCTTTCTGTGTTAATTCTGTCAGTGAGGGCAGGAGTGGGCAGGAGACACAGACATGGATGGACAGACAGATACACACACACACACACACATGCAAACACACACACACACACACACACAGACACACACACACACCTAGAAGTAGGAGTGACTTACCTAACTGTTGAGGTGAGACTGGAATAAGTAACTGATCATGTATAGCTCAGGCCTTTCTCATCTTTTTTAGATGAGCCTGTCTACAGAATGCACATGTTCTCTTTCTCTATAAAGTGCCAGCAATAAAGCTTATGTTATGATCTCCAACACATGTCTGTCAGTCAGTTGTGAATCAAAAATCTAGGGGGTGGGAGGGTAAGGGAACACGATTATCCATCCCCCTTAAAAATCCTAACAGAGGCCGGGCGCGGTGGCTCACGCCTGTAATCCCAGCACTTTGGGAGGCCGAGGCCGGTGGATCACGAGGTCAAGAGATCGAGACCATCCTGGTCAACATGGTGAAACCCCGTCTCTACTAAAAATACAAAAAATTAGCTGGGCATGGTGGCACGTGCCTGTAATCCCAGCTACTCAGGAGGCTGAGGCAGGAGAATTGCCTGAACCCAGGAGGCGGAGGTTGCGGTGAGCTGAGATCGTGCCATTGCACTCCAGCCTGGGTAACAAGAGCAAAACTCCGTCTCAAAAAAAAAAAAAAAAAAAAAATCCTAACAGAAAGGCCGGGTGCTGCCGCTCACATCTGTAATTCCAGCACTTTGGGAGGGTGAGGCAGGCGGATCACCTGAGATCAGGAGTTCAAGACCAGCCTGGCCAACATGGAGAAACCCTGTCTCTACTAAAAATACAAAAATTAGCAGGGCATGGTGGCGGGCACCTTTATCCCAGCTACTCAGGAGGCTGTGGCAGGAGAATCACTTGAATCCAGGAGGGAGAGGTTACAGCAAGCTGTGATCTCACCACTGCACTCCAGCCTGGCAACAGAGCAAGATTCCAACTAAGTGGGGTGGTCAGGAGAAATCCTAACAGAAGACAGAGGACCAAGATTCTCTCCCAGACACCCCCACTGACTCACTGAGTTAGCTCTGAAGTAGCCAAAGTCCCAGCATCTCCAAGGAGAGTAAAGCCCACCCGCAGGTTTCACATCTTACTCAAATACAGCACAGAAATTCAGTTGGAGAAGACAAAGAGATGACCAGATCCACAATTTAGCATCCTAGCAGATGTTATGGGACTGGAAGTGGGAACAAACCTCTAGTTTATCAACATTTGCGCAAGAACATTTCCCAATCCAGAGAAATCCGTTAGCTTCCCGGAGCGTGGAGACAGCACTGGGGAGTGGGTGCCCTGTGGAGGCTCTGAGACTGCATGGGGACAGGTGGTGGATGGAGAGAATTACGCAAACCACAGTAGCCCTGTTCTTGAATGGAGAAATACATTACCATCCTGAGTTCTCCAGTAAGTTCCGCAAAATCGTCTGTGGCACTGAGCAGTTATAATAGCCCATGCCAATATATGATCTCCAGATCTGGTTTTTGCTTGAAATGGCATGCAGAGTTGCAAGGATTTCATTTTCACCTGATTGTGGAAAAGAGAGAAATGTTACAGAGAGAAGATATCTCAGAAAAGAGCTCTAATTACAGTTTGAAAACCCTCATTTTTTTTGAACATTTATGAGAGAATAACCATATGGAAAGATAAGGGTCATCCATCCAGCCAACACTTAGTACTGTATGCGACATCTCAAAAAAAAAAAAAAAAAAAAAAAATCCCCAAACATCACTAAATTTCTCCTCAAGGTTTGCCCCTCATCATTGTTTTAACTCTTCCCTTATTCGGTTCTGTTTGCCAGAATTGCCCATTTTAATACTTACCCCATTCCAGGTTTTTTCTACTCCCTTTCTTTTTCTGCTGTATATAGCTAAATAAAAATTCTGTCTAATTCCCAGTGAAATACTGTATTTTTCTTTGGCTAGAGTCACCGAACTAAAAAAAAAAAAAAGAAAATACTGTGTTTTATCTTCTAAACTGCCTTACACTCTCTGGAAGTAGGCACAGCTTCAGTCTAATTAACACATAATCTACATTTTTCTCTAAAATTGTTCTACTCAGTTGCACATTCTTCCTTTCTGTCACCAAAAGGGCAACTTATAAAAACACCATCATCCAACAGTAGAAAATATCAGTTGTGCAGGGCACGGTGGCTCATGCCTGTCATCCCAGCACTTTGGCAGGCCAAAGCGGACAGATCACCTGAGGTCAGGAGTTCAAGACCAACCTGATCAACATGGAGTAACCCCCATGTCTACTAAAAATACAAAAATTAGCTGGGTGTGGTGGCGCATGCCTGTAATCCCGGCTTCTCAAGGGGCTGAGGCAGGAGAATCGCTTGAAGCCAGGAGGTGGAAGTTGTAGTGAGCCAGGATAACACTATTGCACTCCAGCCTGGGCAACAAGAACAAGACTCTGTCTCAAAAAAAAAAAAAGAAAACAAAACAAAAAAGAAAGAAAATATCAATTGTAATAGAAGACTCTCATGCAGGGCTGAGCACAGTGGCTCACACCTATAACCCCAGCACTTTGAGAGCCCAAGGTTGGCAGATCGCTTGAGTTCAGGAGTTCAAGACCAGCCTAGGCAACATGGTGAAACACAGTCTCTACCAAAAAGACAAAAAATCAGCCAGGTATGGTGGTCTGCACCTGTGGTCCTGGATACTTGGGAGGCTGAGGTGAGAGGATCACATGAGCCTGAGAGGTAAAGGTTATAGTGAGCTAAGATGGTGCCACTGCACTCAAACCTGGATGACAGAGTGAGACCCCCATTTCAAAACACACACACACACACACACACACACACACACACACACACACACACAGACACCTTCGTGCAGTTTCTACCAGCATTCTCATTAATTAAGAAGTATAAAAATGCTTGGCCGGGCGCAGTGGCTCACACCTGTAATCCCAGCACTTTGGGAGGCCGGGGTGGGTGGATCACGAGGTCAAGAGATCGAGACCATCCTGGTCAACATGGTGAAACCCCGTCTCTACTAAAAATACAAAAAATTAGCTGGGCATGGTGGCGCGTGCCTGTAATCCCAGCTACTCAGGAGGCTGAGGCAGGAGAATTGCCAGAACCCAGGCGGCGGAGGTTGCGGTGAGCCGAGATCGCGCCATTGCACTCCAGCCTGGGTAATAAGAGCAAAACTCCATCTCAAAAAAAACAAAAAACAAAAACAAAAACAAACAAACCAAAAAAAAAAAAAAAAAGTGCTTGGATGCAGGTGGGACCCTTTTTCGGGTCATTCATATAACAAAATGATAACAGCATTTGACATTTATTGAATATTATTCTGCCAGGAATTGTACCATATGCTTTTTGAGCAGCCTAGGACACTGAGGATTGAAGATAGTCACTTGGTTGAGGTCACATGACTTTAAATTAAAGGATTACTAACCCAGTCTCTATAACTACAGATTCCACACTTTAACTCACTGGACTAAGTTGAGAGCTGCTACATGAACAGCTCTTACCTAAAAAGGTAAGGGTACTTTTTAGATACAAATGACATCATATGGTTCTTTCTTTGCCTCTCTGCATAGATATAGATCATGCTACTGAAATTTAACTGGAATTTAGCTACTTAGGAAAATGTCTTCTTTAAGATCTTCTTAGGGACGCAGTCACTTAACCCTAGGAATTGATTTACTTTATTGTTCTTCAATCAGAGAAAAATTTAGGTACAGAAAAATCTATGACAGCAAACTGGCAAGGAAGACACTTAACATTGTTTTAACACTATTGAGCTCTATCTGAATATTATTTGCATCAATCTTTATCCTCAAGTAAAGTACTTTCACCCCCCACCACACACACACACACACACACACACACAGACACACACAGAGACACACACACACACACCCCACTCCACGTGCTTTCCCAGGAAATAAACTGACAGGAGATTTGGTACTTTGCCAGAGTAGAGTAAGGAAAGAAAGGGTAGCCTTGAAGGTATCCATTTCATGAGTAAATATAATCTAACTACCTTATGGAAGATGATCTTGCCGTCTTCCATGGAAAGTTTAGGAAGTAAGTAAAAATACAATAAACCCACATCTAAGATAGGCAAGGACAGCATCCCTAGAAACAATTATGCAAGAAGTCCAATCACTTCCCAAATAATCTTCTTAGGGGCAGAATGATTCAGATGCCCAGTAGGAGGAAAGATTAATTAGCAGTGCCTTTTAGGCGAGTCCAACTTCAATTACGATCCTGCCAAGGCGGCGGGGGTGGGGGGCGGCAGGTCCCTGTTCCGCATTATACCATGTAGACAAAGGATCCAGCTCTCAAATGACAACGGTCTGTGAAGGGCTTTGTCTGTCAAACTGAGTTTAGCCTTTGGAAATCAAGCTGGAGAATATGATTCTTTTTACAATATAGAAAGATAATTCTACTGATAGTGTGAAAAGGTAACTAAGGGGAGACCCTGGCTTCAGGGAGATACAGTAAGAGGCCAGCACTACAGTCCAGGAGGCAGAAGGGTAAGGAGTGTTACAAGTTGAATTGTGTTCCTAAAAATGATACTTTGAAATCCTAACCCCTGGTACCTCTAAATATAACCTTATTTGAAAATAGGGTCTCCACTGATGTAATCAAGTTAAAATGAGATCATGCTGGATTAGGGTCAGCCCTAATCCAATGACTGCTGTCCTTATAAGATGAGGAAAATTGGTACACACAGAAACACACACAAGAAGAATCCATATGATGATGGCAGCAGAGACTGCAGTGATGCATCCAAGGAGTGCCACGGACTGCCAGCAACCCCGAGAAGTTAGGAAAGAGGCAGGGAACTGATTTTCCTTCAGAGCTTCCAGAGAGGAGCCAACCTTGCCAACGTCTTGATTTCTGACTACGGAACTGGTAGTCAACAGGTTGCTGTTTTTCGCACCACCAATTATCCAGCCCAAAGGTTTGCACTGATTGCTCTCTCACTCACACGGCCTGGCATGGGAAAGGAAAGCCACCTAGTTTGTGGTACTATATTACATGGCAGCTGTAGGAAACTAATAAAGAAACTGTATCAGCCATTTTAGGAGATATGGTAATACTCTTGGGCCCAGCTGGCCAGTTAAAAAAAGCTCAGGTTGGCCAGGCATGCTGGGTCACACCTGTAATTCCAGCACTTTGGGAGGCCAAGGTGGGAGGATCACTTGAGGTCAAGGAGTTCAAGACCAGCCTGGCCAACATGGTGAACCACTAGCTCTCTTTTTTTTTCTTTTCTTTTTTTAAAGATGGGGTTACACCATATCGGTCAGGCTGGTTTCCAACTCCTTACCTCAGGTGCTCTGCCCACCCCAGCCTCCCAAAGTGCCGGGATTATAGGCGTGAGCTACCGCGCCGAGCTGGTGAAACACTATCTCAACTAAAAACACAAAAATTAGCCACGTGTGGTGGTATGTGCCTGAAATCTCAGCTACTTGGGAGGTTGAGGCAGCAGAAGTGCTTGAACCCCAGAGGCGGAGGTTGCAGTGAGCTGATATCGTGCCACTAAACTCCAGTCTGGGCGACAGAGCAAGATACTGTCTCCAAAAAAAATAAATAAATAAAAGTTAAGATTCTACTAGTGGAAGTAATCAACCCCAACAGTAGCATTCTCTTTACTAATCAACATTATCCACTGGCTTAAGAGAGCCGGTGCTACAGTTCTGGGATGTGTTGGAAGTCTGTGCAGAGGGGTGCAGCAGCTTCCCCCACAGTCCCTCAGAGTCATGCAGCTAGAGGTCAAACCAGCAGCGCCAACTATCCAGTCCAAAGGTTTGCACTGATCACTCTCTAACTCACATGGCCTGGCATGGGAAAGGAAAGCAGTACCGTCTTGCAGCCATGTTGTTCCACAAGCAGCACGGCTGAGAGAACCAACTCAATGGCTGACTTTTAACTGGCTCCATGCCTGGGGAAAAGTAATATAATAGTAATTGAAATAATCAGAAATAGCTGAATGGACATTGTGGACATTGGTGGGAGCCAATAGGATTATTTAAACCAACAGTCTTCATAGTGAGTGAAACTGCTAACGTAATTTTTCCATTGCAGAACTCTCCTTTCTCATACCCTGGCCCCAGGAGACAAAACAGGATTAGAGAGAGGAATTTGGCTATTGTGCCAAGAGCCACAATTACAGTCCCTCAGTAGGTCAAGTTTTCTGAAAAAAGCACTTCAAGGACTCAGAGGGAGGTGATAGAAGCCCTGGAGCTGAGAAGAATCTTGAACTGAACCAAACTCCAGATCTCTTCCGTATGACATACGATGCCGCCCCTCCACCTCCCTCCAGCGAAGATCTACTGCTCTTGCCCCATATATAGGTGTTCAAATGTGTTTTGATTTTGCTTGGAGACTTTCAGAAGGTCTCTTTACTATGGTTTTATTTTCCACTCCTGTGATAGTGGCCCTGGCTGTTTTGTTAATTCCCACTGGTAAGAAAATGTAGGGTTAAAGTTTCATGGGTCTGCAGCAGAGGCCACCTCTTGGGAAGGAGTAGACAGGCACTCACTCAAAGGAGGGGGAGGCTAGG